AAACCTCGCATGAGCAGTCAGTTTGCTCTTCTGTAATGGTGGATTCCATACGAGCAGTAACCTGGGTGGGTCAAAGCGATTTAAGTGTGATTAGATTCATGGATCAGGGTGAGCCTCGTAGCTCAGTGGTAGAGCGCTGGCTGCGCAAAAGCACTCTCTGCTGTGTGGGTTCGACCCCCATCGAGACTGCGAATTTTCCACAATTGGGTCAATTGAATGAAGCAAATCTGCCAAACCCCCCTAACAAGGTGGATTTGTCATTATATCATTGGTCATATTGTAAGCCACAGAGTTTAGAATAGATAAAGGACGTCAACTTTGGATAAAATAAGCAACCCAATCAAATCTAACGCCATGCCTGCTCAAACCGAGATTTGACCTCCAGCAATTTGCTGTCTATAGAAGTAGTGTTGGGTGCCCCATTGAAAGACGGTATCTTTCATGCGGACAATTATTTAGAAATGAATAAAAACAAAAACGAGATAACCAAGTGACAGTCGTGAGAAGGGACTTTCCCGGCAAAGTTTTATTAGTGGTTTGTCATTCTCAATAACGATTTCGGTAATCTATCTTTAAGAAATGAAGGGTTATGCTTAAAGCTTTCAGTATGTAGCGTGTTTTGTCTGACGCGTAGACTCTCCATGCTGGTTATGGGACTGAAGCGGACGGAGGTGACAAAAGTCACTATGCATCTGAAGGCAGGTAGTCGAAATCGTCACAGTATCATTTTATGAGGTTTGAGCTCAAACCAAAAGATAACTATGGTGAACTTTAAAAAAATAGTTCTCTTTTATAACTGTCGATTTATGGTAGCATTTGAGCCAAAGCCCCTAAAACATTCGGAATAATATAATTTTACGAAAGAATATCAGATAAGACTAATGTTGAAACCTAAGCAATATTTGAAGCTCATTTTAAATTTGACGTAGTTCACTTAAGCTGCAGAGAGTATTTATACTAGTGACACAAGTCAGCGCAGTATAGATTGTCAGTCGTTTTGTGTTTTAATCGTTCTCTTTGCGCATGCATTATTTAGGTTACCTTACAAATATAATTCCGTCAAAAATTAAAAAAATCTTCGGGAAGAAAATATATGTTTTTATTTTCCATTCCCATCCATAGCAGCTCATCCAGGAAAAAGAAAAAAAATACAAAATTCTACTCAATAAATTTTAATTCGAAATAATATAACTAGGGTTGGATGACAGCATTTTCCGAAGCCTTGTAGATAAGAAAAGAGTACTTGTCCAGTGTGAAGAAAGCGAAGCTGTTTGGAATGTAGGGGACCTCACTAAAAGCAATAAAAGCGAGACATTATGTAAATTAGATGGTAATCAGAAACTAGATGTTCAAATGCTCTTGAAGGGCAGAACTGTTAAAGAGGATAATTTATGTAAAAATAACTTTGTGCCAGGTACAACAATTGTAGGCTTAAATGCTATGCGAATGAGAATGAGGCGAATGCAAAAAGTCATCTGCAAGGAGGAAGTAAAACTAAAGCACTGCAATCCCGCATAAAATATTTGATTCTGACACTGACAAAATGTGTAATTTCCCAAAAGAAGTATATTTCAAAGACACGGAAAGAACGTTAGAAGACACAAACAGAACTTTGCGTCGCTAATTTAAGTGTCGAGGTGCATTTCGTGTCTAGCTTATATGTCGGTTGGTTGTACTCATTCTAATGGGCTTGTACTGCGCAATACTGTTGTGTTAGACTCCAATAGCTAGCGGCGTTTAAGAACTAAAGCCCAAGGTGTATGCCTGCTTCACGAAATTTCTGTTTGCTTCAATTAGACTCTCGTGAATGCTGGCAAAAGTGCGGATAATTTAGTAATGATCAGGGAAAATGTTACATCGGTTTACCATTTACACGAACCATTTTCTATGCGTGCGTTTGTGAACCTCAACGACATTTCAAAGAACCCGATTATGCATAAAACCTAAAAGAGTGATACAAGCACCATTTTGGTTTGGTCAGCCTAAATTCACATTTTCGTTGCGTCAGTTTTAAATTCATTGACAAAAGTCCGATTTTATTTTACATGATGTTCAAACTTCATGCTGATGAGATTCTTCGAGTTATTTTGCACACTGCTTTATGTCATTGTATTCGCAAGCGGCAGAGTCATAACGCCCAGGTAATTTCACTTAACGAGCAGATATATATATATATATAGTCCTGAGTGGGAACATATATGTGATCATCTTAGTTAGGTTGTTCAGAAACAAGACAAGAAGACATAGACGCGAAGGCCCCACTCCAAGACCTCTGTCCATCTTTCCTATCTCTGCACCCCTTACTTGATTTTTTAAGCTTTCTGCAAAGCACTTTCCTGCAAGTACTTATTGAAGCCTTTTTAAAACATGTATTTGTTTAAATTAGCCAGTTACTGAACCTTAAGAACAGCAAATTAGTTTCTCAGAAAACGCCTGCGAAATGCTAGGCCGCTACGCTTACAATTCGACGGCTTAAGAGGCCGATACGAGCTGCAGTTATTGGCGTTGGTGTCTGTGTTCATGAAAAGATTAGCTGACCCAGGTATACCTGGGAACGATGGGACTGCAAGGCTAAATTCAAATAGTAGCATAAATAGCAACGACTCAGCAGAAGGCAGTAAAATAAGATTTTCATCGAAGAAAGAGGGAATGAGCAAAGTTGCGCAAACGAACCTGCCAAAATTCTGTCCCACAACGCAGCCCCAAGTGGTGTTATACTTATCGTCCATCCTTTTTCGCACATAGGAGGCCATCTGCTGTTCTGTTTGGCACTGCTTCACAGCATCAGTGGCCAGATCCTTCATGACGTCCAGGACATCCTGCGGGGCGTCGCACTTGATGGTCTCATACTTCATGTTGGAGGAACTCATAGTCCACAAGAAGCCGACAAGCCGGAGACTGAATGAGCAGTGAGTGAGGTGGAAGCGCTGCAGGCAGCCAAAATACACTCTGGTGCCAGTGATCTGCGCTTTTTAGTGCTCCTGGCGCCTGACGAATGAGCGCACACCTGGGCATCGATGAATACAAACGCACCCGCACATCCAAGAAAGCATATAGCGAGAGCGGCGAGGGGGGGGGCTGAGGAGGGGTGGCACCATCTTGGTGCTCACATCTGACTGCCACCACGTATGCGTGTGTGTGTGTGTGCCAAGTATCCAATAGAAAAGCAGAATTGGCACTTAACCAGGCATACATACACACACACACTGGCTAGTCAGTGTTGCTCACTCTCAAGTACACCCTCTCGATCTCAGCAGCCCTGGGTTTGCACACCGGTCGAGTGTGTGTGCCCGTAGCTTGCATGTTCGTACGTGCGCTGGACCATAGCAACGCCCCGCTGCTCTGTGCCAGCACCTACACCCTTGATGAGGGCTTGACTACCATTGTCATGGCAACCAACATACATACACGTAGTGGGTTTGATTCATTTCGATGCTTCTAAGAAAATGTTATCTACAGGAACTATAAGGAAGGGGATTAAAAGGCTTTCACAACTCACACCACT